AGATGCGCAGTCTAACTCCAGGTCCCCTATTAACTTTTTTATCTCCCTGCAGAAGTTGTTTCTGTCCATATTTTTATTTCAGCTGGGCTGAGTGGGAGAAAGAACTCTAAGGGAGGTCTTAGCAGATGGTTGTCACAAACTGCATACGGCAATTGAGAATTAGTGTGCAAGCATATGCAACCTGGTACAGTATGAAACATTCCAGCATATGAACACTGAAGTAAATCAAGCTTGGACAGGATTTTTTTTTTTTTTATGAAAATTAGAATTTAGTTTCTCTTTTCATCTATGCATATGGATCTCAGGGCTTTGCAACATATGGGGTCAAACTCTGGACTTCAGTGTGACTCCTTGCAAACCTAGGTAGTTAAATTAAGTACAAATTTAGTTCACTAAGATTAATGTAAAAATAAAACATGCACAAATACAAACACAGCCATTGTGTATGTGTGTGTTTGTTTATAGGTATGAATATATGTATATATATTAAACACCTAATTTAATCTTCATTATTTCTCCTTCTCTGCACACTCTCTAAATAATCTGTAAAAGAAACCTAGTGAAGAAAAGAATGGAGAAGAAAGGCAGTTCCAAAAATTGTAACTTGTGTGCATACATTGCTGGGTTTTCCTTCCCTTTAGAGAAGCAGCACGTTTGCTGGAAAAACTGACTGGAACAGGAAAAATATCAAGTGGGTGAGCAAACACCCTTTTGTAGGTCATGTTTTAAACAAGCAGGAGGAAGGTTTTTGATATTTTGCCTTGAGATACAGCAATGTTCAGGCAGGTCTCTGACTGAGCAGGGGTTCAGGTAGCATCTGTTCCCCCATGTCCTGCTTTCCAGGCTGCAGGAGTGACCCCAATCCAGGCTGGTGACACCCACCTCCCCTCACCTCCCTCCCCCCTGTTCTCTCTGTGCTCAGGGTGCAGAGCAGGGGAGCAGGGGAGGGGTTTCAGGAGTGAATTTTGCTGTGAGGAGGTCTCCCAGAAAATATGCCTCGATTCTTTCTTAACCTTCCCACTTGCCCTTCTCGCTAAGTTATGGTGGACAAATAGAACTGAAATGGAGAGAGAGGAAAGAATGAAAATACTGGCACACAAGGAAATACTGAATTACATATTGGTCGACCAAAACACAAATCAACTCAAAACTACAGGAGTCCACCAACATGCACATAAATCATTTATAACGATAATCCAAGGCTAGGTCCAAATCTCATTAAAGTATATGAATCCTTAATCTATTTTGGCAAAAAAGAGCCAATACACATTTTTTCTTTTTATCATAAATTACAGTTCTGTGGCACTGTGCAAATATTACCAAGCTGTAAGACAGCTGTGCTCCATTAAAATGTGTAATGGTCGCTGATTTCTTACAGCACATGGTCATCAGGCTGAATCTACAGCCAGTAATTAGGAAGATGAAATGTTTAATTGTGCCTTAATTTTGATAAAATTTATCTGTCACACATCCCGTAGTCAAGCAGTATGCTCACAAATCAATGTCATCAGGCCTGAGCAAGAACTGAAGCACCACACTCTTGTTTCTGACAGATTCATTTGAATATCAGACTGCTCCGGATGAGCCACTAGACTAGCAAAACAAATAAAAACTTTCCTGATGAGCACAGCTCCTGTAGCACACATCTCACTACCTAGGCTAAAAGACATAGAGGTCAAAGCAAGAGGCAGGTAGTTTTCTTTCATCTCTTGCTCAGCAAGTTCCCTGGGCACAGCAAACCACCTAAAATTTTTAAAAAGTAAAAAACTTCTTATTGACTACTTAATCAAGTCTCAAGGGCTGGGAGGTGGTGGAGTCAGGCAGAGGTTTTCATTCCTTATTTCCTCCCCTCTTATTTGTTCTCCTGCTGAAAAATCATGCGAGGCAAAGCCAGTGCCCATTGTGTAGGCGAGAGGCAATCACTCACTTCCCTGCTGGCAGTACAGCAGTGCACATTACAGCAACCAGTCATGTGCAGATTATTACCACACATATGCATTATTATTTTTTTCTCTTTTTTTTACATTGGAGTCCACATGGCATGTCAAAATGGCAGCACACTGCCTGAATAGTGCCCAGTTCCATTTTTAAAAAAATGAGTGCTTTGCATTTAGTACATCCAAAAATGGGACCCATTTTGTTCATTAATTGGTTTTTTTCCCTTTCTTTCTTTTCTTTCTCTCTTTCTTTCTTTCTCTCTCTCTTTCTTTCTTTCTTTTTTCTTTTTCTTTTCTTTCTTTCTTTCTCTTTCTTTTTTTTCTTTCTTTCCTCTCTCTCTTTCTTTCTCTCTCTCTCTGTCTTTCTCTCTCTCTCTTTCTCTCTTTCCATCAGACTAATGGAAAGAGAACGCAAGATAGACCAGCTACTTTACCATGATCATGGGCACACTGGCCTCTGCTCCACAATGTTTCCTAATTGTTTTCAAAGAGTCACTGTTGATATTGTCCAGTGTGTTACTGGGGGATACAGCTGTAGTATAATAGTACCCTGCTACAGGGACTGAATACAGCAGTGCTGTGTTAATGAACATAAGCCTTCCATTGCCTGAGAGAAAAGACAGTGCCACTAATTTCAGATGCTATAGCTGATCCAGAACCATTGATACATGGTCCAGACAGACCCAGGGAAGGAAGGATAGTATTGGTCTTCCTGTGGGTCACAATACAGGAGAGCCTACATGGTGGCATGAGTGAGAGCAATTATCACCTCTCTGATTTGGAGCAAAGCCACATGAATCCTCAGTTATCATCATATGGTATTGGGGTTAGAAAAGCTTACCACCGTGTGTTCATTTGACCAAACCTCCTGGTGTTTGGAATCTGGTTTTTCCCTTTTGTACCTATCAAAGGATGAGCCTCTGTGTGTCTCAGCAGACCAAGAGTCCCATTTTTGTTGCCCTAAATTACATCCCTATATACACAGCCATGTATTCTGCAGATAATTGTAAAGGGAAGATTATTGAAAAACTGTCAAAAAAGGCAACTTTGGTAGTACCTGCAATTCTGATAGCTAACTCAGATGAAAATTTAGGACTGTTTTTAAGACAGAACACTGGGTTGCTTACTACTCTCATTTTCTCTACAGCTGTCAGGTGTCTGTCCTTCTTCTAAATCTAAGAGCAGGGTTTGCTAACACACTCCATAATGTCCTGTTAACCTACTCTCTGACTGTATTGCTTTTGCAGCTTTTCCACCATTTGTACTCTAGAATATGAAGATCCTCTGGAATGATTGATCAAAGGTCATAGTCGGGTTGTCCCATGAAAACTTCTTATCCCTCTCTCTGCTTAACCTTTACATGAGCTTGATTTTTAAAAGTGTAAACAGATGAGCGACTAGAAAGTTAACATCTATGCAGTAGCAGTCATAATTAAATGTATGAAAATGTTCCTGTCTTGTTTGTAATCACCTCGCTGTTGCATTTCTGCTGTGAATATAAAATGTGTATTTCTTCTCTATGACCTCTCTGACACTGTCTCAGTCTTAATCTGAAGCATGCCATCTATCTGAAATGAGTTATTTTTTCTCTGTTATGGAGTTCTCATATCCTTTTTCACAATCAGATGCCATCTTTAGCAAATGTTGGAGGATCGGAGACCTGGACTGTTTTCTTCAATAACATCTCACATAACGTTTTTATTTAATTTTACAATAGAATTTGTAATCTAAGAAATAGTTACATTCTTTGAAAATCAGTTCGTTGCTGTGAATAGGTCAGTTGCTGGAGTTTTTTCCCTGCTTAGAAACATACTTGCTGATAGATACTAACTGCTTATATCAAATAGAAAGTTCTCCCCTTTTTTGGTTTGTTTGAGTTTGTTTTTAAAGTACATGCATATTGAAGCTTCAAAATCTTCTAAAAATGTAATGGGTGAAAAAAGAGCACAGAACCACCTAATGGCATTATATTTATCAAAAATCTCTCAATTCTGTCTGCAAAAACAACAACAACTGAGGTATAGAGTCTAGCTAAGCTCAACAGCTCCTTCTACTCCACCTAAAAGAAAAATTACAAAAATAGTGATTTTGTACTTCTAGCCTATGAGGCAATTTTGATGTAAACAACAAGAATGTACTAAAATAGTCATTTGATGTAAAAAAATTATTGAACAGATACGCAGGATTTTTAACAATGGAGAAAATTATGAGCTCTGCCATTCAGTCTCCTCTGGTTTTATTACTGTTATGCAATATTTGGATACACCTCTGCCCCACAGGACAGAGCACTCTTAATAAACATTAGTGTGGAGTAGATGTAAGATCTTCAATTGTAAGTGCTGGAAAGAAGGCTGGAGATAATTCATCACAGCTTTCATTTCATCAACCTCTTCTGAAATGTTCTTGCTGTCCTTTATTCCCTCTTGTATTTCACAACAGTGCTGGAGGCTATAGTAAAAAAAAAAATTATCTTTTTTTAATAATTTTTCAGTTTTGTTCGGTTCAGTTCCAGTTCTTTGATATTAATGAGATTACAGATTTTAATAGTGATTATGACAGTGTTAGCAGCCTATAATCTGTCACATCTTTCTGAATTCTGTTTTAGCTAAGGTCTCTTATATAATTATCTGTTTTACTTATTTAGTTAGTTAATTATATGAACTTATTGCCTTTTTGTAACATCTCGAGATAAAACTGGCAATCAAAATATTTTTGATTACCTATCTTAATTTTAAGATCTTTGAGGTAGTCAAGCATAAAGTTATAAATCCCTTCTGGAGCAATCAGACAGGCAGGTAACTATGTTGCTACTATCAGTGTTATCAGAAGGTGGTAGTCCTTCTTTTTATTTTTTGGAATTATTTGTGGTTTTTCACCAGACAATCCACAACAGGGGGTTTGGTGGGGGAAATTTTCAACTCAGTGTGCATAAACTCTGTAGTAGTTTCTTCATGGGTTTCTAGATCGATGCAAATGGTCTGTAGACAGAGCACTAAAAGGAGCTACAAAGGTCTTTTATTATTTATTTATTTATTTACTTACTTACTTACTTACTTATTATAGTACCTACCTGCACAGATAATGAAAAATGGGTGCCTGCCACAGACAGGTCACAGCCTGGCTTTCTGAAGGGACAAAACAGATGATGGAAAGAGACAAATCGTGGGTAAGTGAGGAAATGAAAAAAAATAAAAATGTTTTGCTGTGTAAAAAATAGACTCCTCTCCCTGTACTTAGTCATTGTCAACTGGCATTCTTCTGCTGAACACTGTGTTAAAAACTAATTGTAAAGATGAAAATACAGGAGCATAGCATGGCAGATTTCTGGATTTAGACAAGCTTTTCCCCAAGCAAAACGAATGCTGTTAATAAGAGAGTAATGATGCTCATTGTCAAAATCACTGAATTTTTCAGACAATATCAGCACTTTCAATGCAGTAGTCTGTGATCTGTGATTATCCTTCCAAACCTCAAAGTGTGAATTCCATCTGATAACTTCCAATTAAAAACAAGATGCTCCTGTAACCATAAATATGATCATTCTACAATTCAACTGATGTCAAAGCTAAAGCCATTAACTATTCCTTTGCACCATTCTAGTGCAGTTTCGGTTTGCAACGGAAACAATCAGTGTGAAATACATCAAATACTGGCCTGGGCTAGTTTGTGTCCATCAATCTTGCTTGCACGTTATGCCTCTTCCTCTGTCTTTTTCTCCCAACTTTATAACTGGCAGAATATGAGAATACTGGCGTTCCCATGGGAAGCTCGTTTAAGGTCAATGAAGTGCCAGTGGATGCAGCAAGCTTCTTTAAATACCAGCAATTGCAGAAATGCTCTAGGACTGTAAACTCTGTTAAAAAGCAGTGCTCATCTAGTTTTTGTGTTTGTAAACAGGGTAGCACAATGGTACCTCCTTGATCAGAAGATGCATGAAAATTGATCATCAGTAATGTAATGATGTTATACAAACCTACATTTCACTTGGTAGCAGCTGAACCAAAAAGAGTCATTAGAATTCAGCAAACATGCTAAAATAATTTGTAAATGAGCATATGAGAGGTCATAGCTGTCACAGCCAATATCATAATCTTACTTCAGAACAGTTCATTGTCCTGCTAAAATACCAATGGAAGGAAAAAAATCTATGTATCTTTAAATCCTCACATTTTGGGGAACTTTTTAACTGTTTTTTTTGCAAGACCTCAGGAAATCAGTATCAATGGTTCATTAAAATGAACAGTAAAATGTACAGGAATAACTGTAAGGTGTAGAAAGTTCACTTCAAAATCTTTTGGAAAGCAAAAAATGTTCTGCTTACATAAACCTCAAATTAGTCATTTTACAATAGTTTTTTAGCATGTTTTCCTTACCCATATCCTGTGGTCATTCCATTGTATGTAAAAGTACTACTATTAAACTACATATGTATACAAGTATCAGTATTAAGAAAGTAGTGATAATTGAACTCTTTTTTGTGTATGAGTTTTTTACTCATTTAATCAAAGAGGAGGAATAATGCAACATAATCAGAAGACCATGAACCCCCCAAAGAGGGAAAAGACATTTCTAATAATTTGCAATTAAGTAAACAACTTTCACTATTTGTGACATCACCATACAACATTTCATATGCTGAACAAATCTAGAAAACGTCAACAGTTTTTAGGAAAGCCCTTAGAAAAGAGGGGTGAGGTGATGAACATAAACTGTTCATCCATTTCTATTTAGGATTTATTTCCTAGCACCCTGGTATAGAAGGCTACAAGCCAATACTTGGTTGTAGTCCAACAACATCCCACATCCTCCAGGCAGATGATTTTACATTATAATAAATTAATATATTTTAAAACAAAAGCCACACATGAAGCTAAAAAACCCTCTGCCAGATAAGGTGCCCTTACTCCTAGGGAGCATTTGAAGCCTGGGACAGAAAGGTGCAGGGGACCCTAATTTTAAGGAACATGCTTAAATTCAGGATTTTCTGGATTATCAGAAACTGGCACAACCCCAAATGTCTGAAAGCTGCTTCCTCAGAAAAATGGGCTCCACAGTACTGACAGCAGGAACAAAGCCTCATCTCCAGCCTGCGTAACGCAGTGTCCATCTGGACTGTGGCCATGGTGGCAAGTGACGGGGACGAGTGTAGGAGTGGGTCCAGCCTACGGGTCCCCACTCGAGTGAGCCGGTGGTAGCGCACCTCAGCAGAAGAGGCTCCGCTTGGGCCAGCCAATCTGTCTCTCTGCAGTTGTATGGGCTACATACCATAACGCCACAAGCTGCCATGCTGCTGCCTGCACTGCTCTCCCCCAGCAGCACATGCCCAAGCCCTGTCACGCCTCCTCTCTGCAGTTTTACCCTGACCGTGGAGGGGGAGCAGTGGGTTTGTCCTGGAAAAGGACAAAACTCCCCTCAGACCTGTTGGACCATTTGTTACCAACTGTAAAAACTGAAAGTAAGGAGGCAAATGCAAACCTCATGGATCAGTTCCATGGTTACAATAAAAACACATTGAATTTATACTGTATCTTAAGACAAGCTCAGTGTCTAAACTCTTAACCTGCCTGGTGAACGTGACATTGCCCAATCCAACGGTGTGTATCTGCCAACGTATCTGCCATACAATCACAGCGTTGCTTTCAGGGAGCACTGCTAAATTTGTCGTATGTGCAATAATTGGCTTTTGTTTGAGCTTCTTGGACCAGAAAAAAAACAAACAACTTCTCCTGCGCTGACCCTGGGCGCCAGCCATATTGAAGAGTGAAGGGTTGTTGGCCTGCGGTGCCAACATACTCCACCTTCACGGGGAGGCCATGCCCCTCACGCTCCAGCAATGCCAGACGGCGCTCGGATGAGGCGGGCTGGGTCTGGCAGGTGGCGGCACAGGAGGTAGTAAGTGAGAGCAGCACAGCATAACTAGCTGTAGCATAGCAGTAGAATAATATTCTCGCGTCCTCAAAACTGTAGGAGTGTTTTTGACTTTGACTGCTTCCAATACCTAACAAATATGAGATCATGGCTTCTGGCATAAAAGAGACAAATTCGTACCCATGCCAGTAAGACTGCCAGTGGTGGGAGGAGGTGTCACCTACCCTGTCCAAACAGGTAGTCTATTGACTTCAAACCAACATGTTTGCTCCTCTGTATGCTGCCCCCAAACACTTTATATTCACCCGGTCTACACCCATGCAAGCCAGCAGCTCCCCCAAAGGAATCTTCCATGTGGCAAATCCCCCTTTGTTTTGAACTGGGAAGGGCAGTGTGGTGTGCAAACTCCTAGATTGGCTTTGTTTGCCTTTTTAACTCTTTGCAGTAAACAGCTCTTTGTTCTCAAAATGTGTTCCTTAGAAGGAACACAGATCTGTGGAAGTCAATGAGCAAAAAGTGAAATATGAACAGAGGCAGATGAGCTTACAAGCACTGGGCCCAAAGAGCCAGACGACTTCACTATGCAATAAAAGTCCATGAATAATTGATTTCACTAGCTGAAATGAAGATTTGTTTTTGAAAAGCTGGTTTTGGTATCAAAAATAGAAATACACTGGACTGGAAAATGTTGCAGTGCAACATTTTAACAAAGTTGTCCTCCAAAATGTGTACAAATGCCCCATTTTCTAATTATGAATATTTCAACACCTAACATTTTCTGCCAGAAAATCCTTGTCTCTGCCAGCTAGCTTAAGGAAGAGCAAGTTTGAAGCAGGGGTTTGCACTCTGGAGGATCTATCTATCCCATCAGTAACTGTGTCTGTGATTCATGGGTGAGACTGCCAGAAGGTAGGATTAAGCGAATGGCTCTAAACTTCAGTGACACATATTGTTCTGTTGGATGTATGCCCAAAAAACAGGGGAGAGAGTGTGTGTAAGTGTATATGTGTGGGAGTGTGTGTGTAAAAATTGTTGCAAATTCATATAATCATGCTGCTATTTGCATTTTTTCTTCAATACCAATAGAAAAATAGGTATATTTGAATTCTCTGCTGTAGTGAGAATATAGTCATGAACTGCGTTTTATGAGTCTTCCAGACTAATTTGGCCTTTCATCCTGTCAACACAATGGTGAGATGCTGAGGTATGAGGAACATGTCAGAAACATACAGGTATAGTAATAGCAGGATGAATGAGACATCCTGTTTACATCAGGTAGCAGAGAAGGGTGTCAGCCAGTGGGGATTTTGGATCACAACTATATACTGTAACTGAAACAAATGAAAGTTCTGAAAGGTCTTTCATTCAGTTATTTGGTGTCTAAAGCAAAGAGACAAAATGACATTTATTGAAAAAGCTAATTTCTGGTTGTTCCTGGTGCAAAGAATTCTCCCACCGAGAAAGTACGGTCTAGACAGAGGAACCACAAGTATGCCAATGGAAGGTCATCTGGGAGTTTGCCGGAAAAGCAATACATGGCCTATAGGAACTTCATCCAGAGAAATTTTGGTTTATCCTAAAAAAAAACCTTACAAAATGGAGATTGGCTGCTATTTTCATGGTTTTGCTGCTAATTCATTCCATTTCCACTTGCAAGCCTTCATTGGTATTGACTGTACTGATGTTTGCTTTTGAGATCAGGGTAGCAGCAGCTGTGTGATTCTCTCCTCTCACAGTTAGCACAGAAACATTCAACAGGAAAGCCTGAGGAATTGTGTTGCACTTTGAGGAAGCAATAAAGGGAAGAGAAGAAGGGTAAAGTAAATGACAGATAAAACCAATGAGACCCATCCATTTTGGAGAATGAGCCAAATGTGAATAGAGCAGAAAAAAGGTTAAAGTCTGCAGAAGTTTGAAAGCTAATGTGCAGCTCTGGGCACAGGTTTCTACATTTCTTGCACTTTATGCTTCTCCCTTCTGAATCCTTCTGCTGGCAAGTATCATACATTGTTATCAACTTCTGTGTTACCATGGAGAAAAAGAGAGACAGGGAGAGAATAAATGAAAAAAGACAATGATGAAGAACAATTTATTTAAAAAAAAAATCTTAGCTTTTAGAGACAATATTTGTCTTTGAAGGTACAATGGAATCATTCAAAACCAGCTCTTTACTTTTAATGGAAAATTGGCATTAAAAAGTATTTTTAAAGTAATACCATAGCAGAAAGGTACTTCTGAAGAAATTCCTTGCAGCTATGGAGTTATGTAACTGTTTTGTGGAAAGATGCTAAAAAGATATACAATGGTTCTCTGGGCTTTTTGTCTTCAAGAATTCTCAACTGAATTTCTTTAGTTCCAAAGTAAGAAGGCACTGGGCATTTGTTGCTATTTATAAATATAATTTCTGCAAATGTAATCTTAGATCTGAAAAGAAAAATTATATTCTTTCTGGTTTGAGTATCACTACAAACAGAAAAAGGGCTGAAAGGCACGTTCTGTTCCTAATTTACCTCCATGCAGTGCCATAAAATTCAGATAATCCAGAATGCAAGATACAAGCAAAAATCCATTTTGCACTGATATCTGCACTAATACTTCAGTGAGTATGAAAAGAAAGAGGAGTCAAAATCGTAGAATCAGAGAATCAACCGAGTTGGAAAAGATGTCCAAGATAATCAAGACCAATCCTTGATCCAACACCACTGTGGTTACTAGACCATGGCTTTAAGTGCCACATCCAGTCTCATCTTAAAAACCTCCAGGGACGGTGAATCCACCACCTCCCTGGGCAGCCCATTCCAATGTCTGATTACTCCCTGTAAAACATTTCTTCCTAATATCCAACCTAAACCTCCCCTGGTGCAGCTTAAGGCCGTGCCCTCTTGTCTTACTAATAGCAGCCTGGGAGAAGAGACTGACGCCCACCTGGCTCCAACCTCCTTTCAGGTAGTTGTAGAGAGTGATGAGGTCTCTCCTGAGCCTCGTGTTCTCCAGGCTAAACAACCCCAGCTCCCTCAGCCTCTCCTTATAGGACTTGTGCTCGAGTCCCTTCACCAGCCTTGTTGCCCTTCTGTGGACCTGCTCCAGGACCTCAACATCCTTCCTGAACTGAGGTGCCCAGAACTGGACACAGTACTCCAGGTGTGGCCTCACCAGTGCTGAGTACAGGGGCAGAATCACTTCCCTGGACCTGTTGGCCACACTGTTCCTGAACCAGGCCAGGATGCCATTGGCCTTCTTGGCCACCTGGGCACACTGCTGGCTCATGTTCAGCTCTTCTTTTTGAAGAACTCTTCTATTTGATAAAATACGTATGGTTCTTACTCAAAGTAGACAAAGATGTGACGCACAACAAGGTTCTTGGCCTAGAATGAAATCAAGCTTCATGGTGCAGTGAGATTACCAGATCAGAAGTTCTATTACTTCCCATGGGAATCATGCCTTCTCTTGTCAGCATACTTATAAATCATAGAATCATAGAATCATTTTAGTTGGAAAAGACCTTTAAGTTCATTGAGTCCAACCATTACCCTGACAATGCCAAGTTCACCATTAAACCATGTAAACACCTACAGGGATGGTGACTCCACCACTTCCATAGGCAGCTTATTCCAATGCCTGAACATCCTTCCAGTGAAGAAATTTTCCTTAATAACCAATCTAATCCTCTCTTAATAACCAATCTAATCCTACAACTTGAGGCCATTTCTTCTTGTCCTATGTCTTGTTACTTGGGACAAGAGACCAATCCACATCTCACTGCAACCTCCTTTCAGTTGTAGAGAGCAATATGGTCCCACTGAGCCTCCTTTTCTCCAGGTTGAACAACCCCAGCTCCCTCAGCTGCTCCTCACAGGACTTGTTCTCTAGACGCTTCACCAACTCCATTGCCCTTCTCTGGACATGCTCCACTGCCTCAATGTCTTTCTTTCTTGTAGTGAGGGGCCCAAAACTGAACACAGGATTTAAGGTGGGGCCTCAAATGTGGTGTACTCAGCACTGCAGAGTACAGGGGGAGTGCTGAGTACAGGGGAACAATCACTGCCCTGGTCCTGCTGGCCACAGTATTTCTAATGCAAACGTTGGCAAGTGCTTGCATTTGCCTGAAATTCTGCACCAATAAATTTTTCTATTTAAAATATTGCATTTGGAATAATAACTATTTTATTGGGAAATAAGCACTGCGAGTTTGACTAGAGTGTTTTACTAAGGTTGGGCTCAATGAGCATACGTTGATTATCATGTCACACACTGTAGCTGATAGGTCTGGTATTTGTTGAAACACCACATTCATCAGGTGATGAAGCCCTGCAATAAAGGGAAACTAATGGAAGCAATTAAGAAAGAACACCTGTTGGTGGAAGACTGCAACCCCTACATTGACCATAGCCAGAAATTGTTCCCAGTTGTTATTCACAACAATGGAAGACCCCTGGGCTGTGAATGCAGGCAAGATGGACTGCAATAAAATTTGCAAATGAGTTTTCACATTGTCCCATAAAATTCTATGACTTTGTCAATCTGTGTTGACACAGACCAATACATGGCTAAGCAAAAAATGATGGAAGAAAGGTCCTAATTGCTGTTGTTGGTGAAAAGTATCTTTGCACTTCTGAAGAACCTGGGTCCAAATTTTCCATTTGTCACAAATCGGTCTGGGTATATTTGTTCTGTTCTATCCACTGGTGGAAGTTTAGCCTTATGAAACAGGTTAGGTCATCTAGCATTCTCTGTTCCACATCCAGGACCACACAACAAAGTTATTTGCTGCCACAGCAGCAAAGTTGTAAGGAAAATATCTTTCTACACTGCATGGCATTAGCCAGCAGATAACACAGAATTGCCCATTTTACTAGCAACGCATTTTACTTGTTACCTGAATTATTGATATGAACTGTCCACAGAAGTATTACCTTTTGACTTTAAGAACTAGAGGTATTGTTAGAAAGAGTTATTCAGGTAAAAGCATGTGCTTCTCTTCCAGTTCTCAGTTGGACAATAAATATTTGGCACACGTTTTAAATCCTCAGCTTTCCCTGTGAAAATAAGGAAGGGCGGGAGATGTAGTAACAGTATTAGAGAGGGAGGAAGGGTTGTAGGGAGAGAAGAAAAAGAGATGCTAAGAGGAGTCTGTTTGCAGTGACATCCACAGACTCAGCACACTGTAATGCATGTGAACCATGAAAGACCTATGAACATCAGATCTTCATGTCCTTCAAAGGACCATGGTGTCAGCAAGGTAGGTTGGCACAAGACCTCAGGTAGAAACCAGAGAAGTCAGTCAAATGTTGCTTTTTAAATTCTTATCACCAAAACATCACAGAAAATATTTCTCCTAGTTTATAACTGAGCAACTGTTTTTAAATTATTATTATTATTATTATTATGTAGAATGTATATTGTAATTGTTTTAGTTAGAACAGGCAATTCCCTTTCCCTTAAGTATTCTTCCCCTTACTGCTGTAGTGTAACTAAATGAGACTATTTCATGCCTCCAAAAAAGCCCAACCACAGAATGAAGGTTTAATCAATAGATTTAATTTAATTCCATAATGATGAGCTGACTCTCTTCAGGACCTAATTTTCTCTTCTCTACAGAAAGTAGAACCAAATTTTTTGTTAGTGCAACTGTTTACATACAATAAGACACAAGTATATATGTAGAAATTGATCAATTAGAAATCTATTAGAAAAATATAAATTGTAAAATAATTAAAATTAAAACAATGCTGGGTTTGCTTGAGTAGAATCTTGCACCCATAATTTAAATGTGATTTTCAGAAAGTAGATAATTACGACTACATTTCATTCTCTCTCCTCTTTTCTCCATCTCCTCTCTTTTTATTTTATTTTTTAGAAACCAGGTACAGAATAAGTTTCTGCAGATATGCTCGCAGTCTGAGATATTCAACGCGACCTTTCAATTGAGTAGACCACTTCTGAGAATAGCTTTCACTCACAATGTAGTATTCAAAGCCTAACAGTGATTTGTAGAAGAAACATACTACTTGCTCTCTGTTTCAACCAATCCAAAGCATGCAAGGCTATTCCTTGGCTGGTAGTTGTACAATTTTCACACATAAGAATACGACATCTTATTGAATTCATCTGAAACTGTGTCTTAAATTCCCACTAACATTGGACAGGAAAATAAAGGGTTCCTTGGTATAAAAGTTTTCAACAATAAAGAATTCAAACAGATTTACTGAAGGTTCTGTGATATGAATATATATATACACACATATATATATATACATATATATGTACAAGGATTTTGTGTTTCCTCTGCATTACTCTTTTCTTGTAGCAAGCTATGAAAGTGAGAAATAGTAGAAGGGAAATTAACATGTTCACCTCCTTCTCCAAATGGGGGAATTCATCATGTATTTTGTGAGATGAGACAAGTGCATAAACAGTTGAGGATGAGCCAGCACAGCACCCCTTAAACAGAAAAGTCCAGCCACATGCAGTCTGAAAAGCAGATCTTAGCAGTACACAGAGGCAGCACATGGGCAACAGGCACAAGCTGTAATGAGGAAAACTGAAATGAGATACCAGGAAACAATGGTTCCCTATGTAGGAGGTCAAAGACCAGAACAAGTCACCCAGAGAAATTGTGGAATCTCTGCCCTTGGAGATACTCACACTTGTCCAGACAAGGTACCTGATGCAAAAAGTCTCGTGTTGAACAGGGGTTTGGACTAGATAGGTGGCCTTTTGAATTAATTTCATTCCTAAAATGTTCTCTGTAGACTTTTTATGAGTCTACAGAGCTAGCTTGCAAGTTGCTGGAAAGGGGGGGAAAGCCCTGCCCCCACACTTACAATCAAGTTTCTTTAAAAAAATCAGGAACATCACCCCTTCCTTGAGTCACTGTGAAACAAATGAAAATGGTGTTTATAATGGAGCAGTCTGCCTATCTGGTCATGTGCACAAAGTTTGTTGTAGTTAGGAGGAAGATGAAGCCAAATTACTCACTGCTAATGCTTGAAATAAAAAGAGGACTGAATATGAAGCAAGAAAATAATACAAGCCCCCTCTTTTCCAGAGAGGGAGATGTATCAAAGTTCTCTGAACATGCAGCTCCATAGTGAGCTCCATGGTGAAAACATGAGTCATGATGAACACCTCTGGGGTTAATTTTTGCATGAGAATGGTTCCTGATCTCAGATAATGGCAATCATGTTTAATGATCATTTCATCAAATGGGATGGTCTTACCTTTTCCTTCTCTTTCTCTTTTTCTTTACAGAAATTCTTCTCATCAGCAAACAAACATGCAAAATAGACAGACTGATAAAAGACTGCACGGGTGCCAATAAACCTTTAACAAAACTTAACACCTTAATATACCATTAAAATGGAAAATAGCCATTTAAGTTACAGGCAGTTGTTTTACTTGAGCCACATGATAACTAAATATTCCTCCCAGAAACATTTCCAGCATAAGCTTTATTCTGAGACATGCTTGCCTTGTTTGCAGTTTGGTTCTTTTGTCTCATAAAGTGCTAATGACCATCATGGATAGGGCTATTTACCCAGAGGTTGTTGAATGTCATGTAAGAACTTCGGTCTTCTCTCTTGGTTTGTATCTTCCTTGGCTTAAATCTAGGTTACACCTGAACAAATAAGAACAGTTTCTTTTTAGGATCACAGGCTGGCAGCCTTATTCAAATTTAACAATTCTTTGCTCTCAGAGTGATCTCCTAAAATGTAGAGACTCTTAGCTTGTTCTGCAGAGGTTGATCTGCACAGGACAAGGTGTGAGGTTAGAGCTTGAGGTGGGACATCTGGCAAGCAAGTGTGGAGCAGCACAGTACTCATGTAGGGTAAAATCATGTAGAGTGAAATTACTTCTGATTTGCTTTATGCACAGAGATCTTCCTGCATCAAATCTTGAAGAATGGCCTCAGTGAGTACTTGAGCAAACAACTAAAGCCCTGAGCTTTGATTTTCATCACATATGTGCTAGTATTTAGAAGCATATGTATTTAACATGCTGACACAGAAGTTATGGTTAAACCCTTTAGTATTCAAGACAACAGTTGTGAAACTTTTATTTTAATTTTCTGCTTATGAAAGGAAGTGGATCAGATATGAGAAGGCAGAGAAAGACAGGGAGAGGGAATATGCAGAAAATCTTAACAAAAATTATTCCGTAAATAAAAAAAGATTAATTAAGATGCTAGCCCAAAAAATAAAGAAATCTGGCAACTGCACTGCAAAGCAGCATCACAGATTTATACTAGAAATCAAAATCAAAGACTGTTTGTACATTCACATAAGACAAGGTATTCTTATGAAAGTAACAAAACTATAGAATGTGTCTATGAGTATTTTGAGTTCAATATACAAATTCATATGAAATACGTTCTTCCATTTAAATTTCTTTAGTTTCTATACTGCATTTCTGAATTTATTCTTTATGCATAATAACCAGGAATTATCTGAAAAGACCTCACAATACTGAGACAATCCCCCTAAGTTCCTGATTAGAAAGTATTTACCAGAAATTGGATTAATCTCATCTGAGCATTAGCCATGTCTAATCAGTCACTCTAGTAATTGGAGAGAATCCAGCTTTTCCAGGGCATGTTTCATCTGGTCTCTAGGACAAGTACTTTAGAATGAGCTGAGCACCACCAAAGTATGACTTACCCAATATGCTTCTGTTAGGATAGAAGGATTCCCCTCCTGGAGTCATCTAGCTCTCTTCAATGACTTCAGAGGAAGTACACACAATTATTTGTGATTCAGTGTCTGACTTTCAGGTAACTGAAGTATATGGATAGGTTAGTAAATATCCACCAAATGTTATTCCAAGAAAATTTTCATCATAGCAGTTGTGGAAAAACCAAGTTCTGTTTCCAGCGCAAAACTTAGTATCCCTAATATGAGGTTATTAGCATAATAAATATGATACAACTGAACGAAGTAACATGAAGGGGGAAATAATTCAAATTTTGCCAGGAATCATATCCAGGTTTTGCATTACTCTTTCAGTACCCTAATGTGTGGAGCCCTTTCCAATACGTCTCCTGTCCCAGTTGCCACCTACTGCAATGACTGGCAGGCAGCAATGACTCCATATGGCCTTTTCATTTCTTATTGTCATTTCTGGCATGTATCACACTAATTTTTGGCCCACCAGAAAGGTGTGGCTGTGCTGGCATACAGCAGTAGGGCAGGAAGAGCTCACTTTTGTGAATGTTGAAAAGGCCCCTCATTCTGGTCACAGTCACACTGGGCATCTGTGATCAAGCAGACTTTGTCAAAAGCCTTGGATCCACTTACTCTGGTGTCCTATTCACTGTCTCAAAAAAAAATAAAACCAAATTATTAGCAGTAGCATTTCTACTATATTATATATTCATCCCTGTAACAGTAAGATACCAAATTATTGCCCAGGTTTTGGAAATTGCTTGAAAGACTTAATTTCCTTTTGTTTAATTTAGTTGACATGTTTAGGTTGACTAAGAATGACATTTAGTATTTAGTACAGTAAAACTTAGTCTTGTGGGGCATGGGAAAAATTTATGCCAAGCATTGACAAACAAAGGAATGTATAGAAAATATCCATGTATACAACAAAATCTCAGTCTGCAGTTGGCCTAGTCATAGAGAACTACTGCTGAGAAGTCAAGGTCATTTCCAGTGTGTTAATCTCAAAGCATCAAGACAGGATCATGACTTCAGTCCGGTAAACATGGAAAATCCACATAGTTGCTGGGTAATTAAAACACTGGGTGCCCCACTGGTCATTCCTAACTCAGTTATCAGCAAGAATCTCACTAATCATAAGTCAGGGATGAGTCTGTGCATGTGCTGTACATGTGGCTTTCTGCATATGTCTGCACATCATTTCACAGGAAACTATTTCACACTACACCAGCTTGGTGAGTAGCTGTTGTTCACACCCACCAAGAAATAAGTACATGTGAGAATAGTACCTTTACAACTTTGAAATGTCCTTAGACAGACTTTTAATCTCCAGGCCATCAACCTGCTGTGAACTCTCCTCCTGACTTTTCACACTTACAGAGAACAGGAGTCAAGCAACACACCATAAGGCAATATGAAAAGACAGAAAAATTCTGGGAAGTGCAAAATTAAGTGTAAATAAAAATATGTCATCTTTTAAAAATATGCAGCTATTTCATCATATATTTAAACATAAGCATGTATATGCCGACATAAATTGGATTAGTAAATCATGTTGCAGTATACAAAATGCAAGATGATACTGATGCATTCTAACAATAGTCTTCAGTTCCATCTCCTTGGTGTCTGCTCCATATGTCATGGCTGGCACAAAAACACCAGTAGTTAAAACACCTGTGTTTTCACAGATTTCCTACTAATGTTAAGTTTAACCTCTGAAGGTCTTTTCATTCAGTCTGCTACTATTATTTGTATATTGAATGAAATATATATCTCACTTAGTAAGGATGTAGCACAACAAAGTTCCTGACCTTGGGATCTTTCAGCTCAAGGCCTTGATATGGTGCTGGTGTAAACCTTGATATCAACACCAATTGATCATTTTAGAGATGAAAACAAAAGAAGAAAAACAAAGGCAGTGCCTACTGACCTGCATCCTTTTAAAGAGGGAAAATGAAAATCATGCTGTGCAGGAGAGTTAGTATTTAATGATAACAGGTAAATGTTTGTAAATATTTATTAAATATTTGTAAATCTTGTGTCTTAATTTATGTTTTTTTCTGGTTTTGTTATTTCCTTGGTGAGATCATGGTCTACTGATCCATGATATGGAGAAATGGTCACTGGCAGGTGAAAAGCATCAATGTGAGCTAAGGATGGATTTGGAAGAAGAGGGTCTTGATGGTTGGCACAGTGGATGAAGAAGGTTGTTTCAAGGGCACATAAAACCTCACACAAAGGATAATGGGAGGAGTGCATGGATGGAGAAATGAAGTAGAACGCACTCTAGTAACGGTAAACCAGAAATAGGAGGAGGGATGAATCCAACAATTTGGACATGAAGAATCTTAGTCTTGTAAAAGACAATGATTTCAAAGGAAAAGGAAGAAACTTCAAGTCATCATCAATGGGTTGTGGCCTTCAGGAAACTGGGAGAAAGGGAAAGGGAAATGGGGGTCAGAATACTGTGTAGATCAAGCAGGAGTGACCACATTGTCAA